GTTTCAGGACCATTTACATCTAAAATTAAACCAGTAAACTATTAAACATACAATAATCCCTGAAGAGGATTTCTCCAGTTTGAGATCAGTAAAGTATATCTTATCTCATCTTATCCTAAACTGAAATTATATGTGTTATGAGCATAGGATGAGACAGAATTTTGTCTTGTTGACCCAGACAAAACTAGGGTCAACAAGAAGTCAAGAATATTTTTTGTCTGCCTCAAGCTCCGGTAATCCTGATAATCAATGTCTGGAAATGGGTTCCCAGGCGCCCACTACCGCTGACAGAGGCTATGGGGCGTTTTGCAGGATGGGTCAAATGCAGAGAATTAAAGTGCCCTCTATCAGCCCCCGGTGTGCACAAGACAAGTACATACATAAAAAAACATTAAAAGTACAGAAAAAAATTCAATAAAACTGTAAACAATTACCTTACTCAGATAGTGCACATTTCTAATACTTCTTATATACTTATTGCACCTATTATGAAGCATTTATAGCTATTTAAGAAGCATTTGCCCACTGTAAGATGAATAAAGCAGCTCATATTTTATATCATTACAATGTTTCATATGTACAAATCTATTTCAAAGGCAGAAATTCCTACAAGTAGAACCAGTGCAACATATCATAGAACTATACAACGCTGCAGCCAAACACACTTATTCCACTTGAACGGCTGAGGTCATTACACCAGTGTCTACAACAACAATATATGGGCTAATGGTGCAATCACTTCCACATCCAGCGCTGAGCTTTTATGAGGATTCACACCATAACACGTATGACCAGCTCTGCACAAACAGCCAAAGTGGTGAGGACAAGCGCTCTCAGGAAATCAATATGTCCAATATACACAGCGCTATGAAGTTTCTCATGAACAATGGCTTTTATGTTGCCGCTATATTGGCTTTCTGTCATCGTAATTAAAGCCCAACACCTCCATTTTATACTTCAACTTGCTTTTATTTCCAGCTTTCTCATTTCCCAGGACTTCAACAATCAGAACAGTGATCAGGGACCGTTTACCAAAGAGTACGCTAGTGCAATATCTAGCTCTGAGAGAGAAACATGATTACTCTATTGTATTAACAACAATAAAACATAAAAGTCACAGGTCATTTGCATATTAGAAATTATTTTTGCTTTTTTCTCAAAAGTAGACTTTTTAAGTTCAGTGTAATAAGTCCACTTACATGAAGTTGTAAGAATGTCAACCTTGTGAGTTGGAAATTCATTATGGCAACAATAACGATTTTTTTTTCTAAATTTGTTTCAACTAATACATGATTTAGACTGGGGTTCCCTAACTCTCAAACTACAACAATGGAACTATGTAATGAACTCCATGTAACTATTTCCTGGCTTTTTGTTTGGTTTCATCACTAGTTTTCACATTTATCTATATTTTGGATTTGACTTTTTCAGACAGAAAAAAGTGAAAAAGACAGACATGGCTATTTAAAAAAAAACTTATAAACAGTTTCAATTCTGACTCATTCTGCTTGGACAAACAAAATGTATAGGGCACTGTCCGGTTTCCGAAATGTGCTAAAAAAAGCTCAGATGACTGCGCATGCACGCATGTTTCGGACGAACATTGTGTACGACTCGTTGAATACTACTGTGTTCTCCACATACGCGTGTGTATTACCTTGGTCTAAATCATTGAATCATGGTCACAACAAAACACTGCAGTTATGGTGCTTGTGGAAGCGATTTCAGATACTCTGAAAAGGACTATATGAAAGTAGTAACATTCAACCCGTTTGTTAAACCACACCATCGGACCAGACCAGGACCAGATCAGACCAGGACAAGTGCAAGAGGTGGGTGCTTGTGGTCGGCAGAATTTATCTCATGAAAATGTTAAAATGGACACATTTTTTCAAAACACTTCGCTGGACCAACTGTGGAGCATCCAGATCCAGTCCTAGCTACGTTTAGCTGGGACTGGACCTGGACCGCTGTATCAGGTCCGTCTGAGCTCTTCTGAATGTAGTTAGCACAAACTTTCTCTTTATACCCTGGCTCTACCCCCATCAATCCATATTAGTATTGTTTGTCCTAATCCAGAAAGTATACAATTCTCACACCTGAAGAAAGATGAGAGGGATTTTTTCAACTTCGTGACTATCGGAAAATAAGTACAGACGAAGCGCGTCAGGGTCCGCTTATTATACGGCTTTGTACGAACTGAACACACAAAATAAACTTCAGTCACTATTAATGCCAAAAGTTTTATTTAATGAGTGCAAAGAAAATAGTTCCCAAAGGTTTTCCTGTGGCAGGCGAGTAACAGTGAGGCTGGTTAACCTACTTCAAAAAACCGATCGCTTTCGTCGCATTAAAAAAGTATCATGAAAACCTGAACAGATAATTCTGAAAACCTCCGTGCACGTGTGTTACAAATGTAGGTATAATATATTCTCTGATTAACATTTAAATGTGTCGATTGATTGTCATTTGCGTTTATTGAGTGTGGCTCCGATAGTTTCTCCCTGCAGAGACAGTAGTGGCGTAGCCCGTTGTGACCCCATGGATCTATTATAATATCAGCTGACAGACTAACTAATGATCAAACTAATTACAAAGTGGACAGTACAAAAAACAACTTGATAAATGGAAGTTAATCACAGCAAAATAAACAAAGAAGGCGCTAGCATTGCAATTTAAATGACAAGATAATGTTAGCACAATCCTCACCATTACCTTTTTATCAATTAAAACGTTACTGGAAGACCACGACATTCAAACCAACGTTTTAATTGGTCTACACTATGATCCCTGATGGGTGGAATTTTGCTCCTTGTATATCATTTTCGTCTAAAGTGACAAGCTGTATTTGATTCATTTCGGCAGTGTTTGTCCGAAACATGTGGGCAGGAGTTGACAGGCGGCGGGGGCGTGTCTTAGTGACGTAATTTAGATAGTTCGCTATTATTTATTGAATAAAACAGCTGGGTACCCTATATGCATTATTAGCATACTCTTAACTATACTTTGCATGATTCATGCATGTTGATAAACCAAATTATAGTAAATATTGTGCTATTTTTTTAAGGTCAATCATAAATTGCAGTCCTTTGGTACTATGGTAGCTTGGAAGGATAATATGTGGTCCTTGACAGTGGTCCCCAACTCCCGCTCATTTTAACCAGGAAAATGTAAACAGTCCGCGCTCAGAAGCGGCATACGCGCACTGCACAAAGGCGCTAATGTTTTTTAAACACGGTGTGAAGAGAAGAGACAGATGAGGAATGGGACGTCTATGGGGAGTAGGGATGTAAAAAACTATGAATTTTCATGACCGACCACCGAGCCTCATTAACCGGTTGAAACCGGTTAACCGCACAGTTTAAAATATCCCAGGTTCTTTGAAATAACAGCCATTTCGAGCCGCGTACTTGCAGCGGAGTGTTCTACTGGGTCAGAGCCGAGACAACGGCGCCAAAACCCCCAACAGCTTGGGCACCTTTGCGCACAGAGAACTGCTGTTTTAATCTTCCCATTCTGCTGTGCTGAGGGTTAAAGCATTTTTAAGCAAAAGACAGCTCGTCCACATGGTCAGGGCAGCGAGTGACGAGCCGCGTCTCGCAGGTCTCCGCTAAAGTTTAAAAGAGATGTGTGTGGATCTGATCTAATGACAAGAACCATAAACACAAACATGTTCCACGTGGTTTGACTGGAGCCGCGTATTTGCGAGGATCCTTTGGGCTGCGTGACACAGAGGAGCGTGACAGACCGGTATGTGTGTTTGTACAATACATGTGTGTGTGTGTGTGTGTATGTGTGTATAAATATAGGCTCCAATGTAGTTCTGACCTGCACCAGTGTGCAACTAGCAGGCGGTAACAGAGGGGAGAGATGATGCATGTGGATGTTACGTATCAATGTAGGGGGGGAAATGTGTGTGTGTTTGTGCGCGCGTGTGCATGTGTGCGTGCATATATGGCACGTGTGGCGTGAGAGTCGGCCCGGAGTTTACTGATACATTGGCGCACACAGCTAGATATGGACCCGTTCGTCACACCGTGCGAATAGGGCTTAAAATAGCGTTATGAAGAGACCTCCCTTTTTTCTCTTTTTTAACCGACAGCTTTGACCGGTTAACGCTGTGACGGTCAACCACCGGTTAAACGGTCACCGATTTACATCCCTAATGGGGAGCTTAAAACCACTATGAACTGAGATTATTATTGCTCCTTCCGCATCACAGTAAGAAAACAGCACAATCAAACTCACACTAGTGACGTATTCTGGCGATTGCTTTGTGGGGATTCTGTGTGTTTTATTGAGGCTTGTCCCTGAACAAGTTTAGTTGAAACTTGTGACAGTAGTTGGTTCTGACCCGACTCAGATCGGGTCAGAACATCCTGAGACTGTGTTGTAGATTCTGCCTCGTTCTCATTATTATCAGTGTGAAGAAAGTTACGTAATGTTCACGTGCGACTCTGTTGTGTACAATATATTAAAAATGTCTATATTTTTGCATAATTCTTATTTATAAACATAACTGTGGTCCTCCATGATCCCTTTTTCAAACTTGTGAGAGCACAGTGGAAACAACAATAGCAGTAGCACCTGTGAAACAAAAACGCGTTTCTCGCATCCTTATTGTTCCTTATCAACCAATGTATTTCAAGATGGCACATTGACATGGAGAGTCCTCCAGCTCTCATGTACAATCCTAGGTGAAATTCTAAGACAATAAAAACAATTTAAAAACACGGTTGAGGCAAATATACTGAAAATTTGTTTTTGGTTAACATGTTTTTTATTTTGGAGAAACTGTAAAAATGTCCAATCAGTCTCACCCAACAGTTGTGTTTCCATTTTTCTACAAAGGAAAACTTAGTTTCTATCATATCTACCTGTATATATTTACTCACCATGTTCCTGAATCTGTTCCAGAGATCTGTGTTTCCAAACCCCAGCCAATAATTGCATATTTCATCAGAGGCAGCACTGGCCTTTGCCCCTTTGTGAAGGACCTGATGAGTCTACAGGAGCCGACATCGCTGAGTCGGGAGGTGAGAGGAAGTGTTTCCATGGCAACTCTCGTGTCTGCTAAAGGCTGGGTTTCTTCTCACTTTCCCCTCATGACTGGAGCACAGGTAAACCTCTACAATTTTGCATAAGACAGATGCAAAACTTAACCCTATCCCTGCTGAATAGGCCATGTATACATTGTGAATAGTTTTAAGAAAATTAATGGCATTTCTTAAAACTATTCAAATCCGTTTCTGGCTGGGTTTAACATTGATATAGTTCGTTATTTTTCATATCATTGGTTCCCAAACCCACGTTCCCAGTCCGATACTGGGCCATGGGTCATTCAGTACAAAACGGCAAGGAAAAAATAAATAACTTTTTTTGTTTTCTATTATCTGGGTCTGATTCTCTCCTTACATCTTGATAATGTGACAGAGAACTGTAAAGAGCAGAGATGAAGAGAGCAGTGTGTGACTCCCATAGACAGTCTATGGTATCTCCACCACATGCTCAGGGCAGAAGAATGATCCCATGCATGCAAATTAGCTCATAATAAAATTTTTAAATCGTGGAAGAAAAAGTAGCATGGAGTAAAATGTGTGACGCCTGTGCAGAGCTTTAATAAGAGACGAAAATACGATAAGAACAGAGAAAAGAGTGTAAATGGATTTCAGTTCTAACCACAAAGACTGGAGGAGTGAGGGCTGTGACTGTACCTGGTACACTCTAAAAAAAAATGCATTGGCAAAACTTAATAAAATTGAGGCAGCATTTTGCATGCATCTTTTTAAGTTTTGCGAACAAGACTGTGTTTTAAGTATTCTTTGTAAGTCTTTTATCATTGGTCCAGCACAATTTTTTCAATACCACCAACTTGGATAATTGAGTTATAAAGACACTTTGTTAAGTATATTCAGCAAGTGTTTTAGCATCAGTTCAACTCAATTTTAACAATACTACCAACTTAAATAATTACATTGAAAATAAATCTTTTTGAGTATATTCAACAAGTGATTTTCAGTCAGGAATACGTAATCTTTATTCAAATACCATCTTTCAAAGATTAGATTCACAAAACGGTTCACAATTGTTAAATTTAGGCAGTAGTCTCTCACTCCACATATATATGAGAGTGGGCCAGCACAGTCACTGGTAAACATGTCCACCTTAAAGTATTTGTTCAAAATTGAAGGGTGACACAGGGAGTATAGGACTGCTTTGGTTTGGCCCTCTCGATCATGGTTGATAAAAATAAATACAATTACTTATTTGGTCAAATTAGTTTATTCAGAATGTTGCTCAAGTATTTTGCTTTAGGACTTGCTTCATTTTCAGTTTTAAAATTAATGCTCAAATGTAGAATTTTTAAGAAGTTTATATTTTTCGCTGCAATGCATTCTGGGTAGCGTCACTGCTTCGCCACATTTTGTTTTCAATCAACACAATATATTTATTTTGAATCAACTCAATATATTTATTTTGAATCAACTCAATATATTTGTTTTTTCATTAATGGGCCACCAGGCTTACAAGAGGATTTTCATGTTGAGCAAACTCAATACTTCTCCGTTGTCCAGTTATGCCAGAATATCAAGTTCAAATTTGTTACAAAAATGAGTTAGGATTCTTGTATTCACTTTTAATTGAGACCGGCATGTTTAAAATGAGTTGCGACCACACTAATTTAAGTAAAACTGGCAAAAATCAATTATTGAGTTTAGTTTAGTATGTATTTTGAGTTCAAAATACTAACCACCTGAATCATTTCTTTGAGTGTAGAGAGCTAAAAAAAAAACAGGCCACATGTGTCAGATCTGAGTAAACCTGCAGAGGTGCTGAAGTTTATAAGCTACACACATAAGAAATATAATAAAAATTACATCCAAAAGCTGCAAGATAGAAGGGTACTAAATATTCTTGCAAATGTCATTGTCAACACACTTTCGGCTCGGGCCAACATCTGTTTTCACAGTGATTACATTCATTTGCGACATAAAATACTTTTTTTTACAAAGATTTCTAAGGGGGATTTTCACAAAAAATATCTGAGTGTGAGAGTGTGTTACAGAAAAACTTGGTATATATTTGGTCAAAATTAAATATGGCTCCATCATAAATTTGTTATGGCTGTGGAAATATTGCCTAACAATAAATTGGTTCTTTGGGGATAGCTGGTCCAGACAACACTTGTACACAATGAGGAAAAATGGTCAAAAATGACTTGGATTGCAAGACAGTTTAAATATAAATTGTTACTCAAATTGGTCAGCGACTTTCATGTTGCAGCAGCTTTGGCAGAGAAGAGCTGTGGTTGTCTTTATCATGTAGAACTCAGGGGACCATGAGGCAGAGAAGAGTAAGTGGAGCCTTTAATGACTCTAGAACATGCACAGAGTAGTCCCAGTCCTCTCAAGGGCTTTGTCTTCTCCACAGCCTCTTGTTCATGTCATGTGTACAAGTACTTCTTTGGGCACAATTACAATCAGGATTGAGTGAATGTGTCAGGCATATTTGGATTATTATTATTTTAGTCAAGCTCTTATCTGGCACAGAGACAAATAATTAAAATGTGTTTTAACTGTTGGTAATTATTTGTACCTTTACCTATCCCTGGTTATTTGATATGTTTTATCAAGTTAAGCGTGCTTAAGTGTGCTTACCTTATTGTGCTGTAGGTACTATAATGAATCTTTTAGAAAATAACTTTTAAACAAGATGAATTGCTCTTCAGACTAGGGTCTTTCATGTTGCCTTCAAAGCAGCTGAGGCCAGATTTATGGTAAGTTTGGATACCTGCTTCTCTCAGGTCCATAAAATCACTTGTGGTCTTCCCCAGGGTTCCATTTTAAGTCCAGTCATTTTTAACCTGTACATGCTCCCTCTTGGCGGTGTCATCAGGAGACATGGAATTAACTTTCACAGTTATGCAGATGATACACAGCTGTACATCTCCATGTCTCCTGATGACACCAGGCCAATGGATGCTCTTTTTAACTGCAATTTAGACCTGAAATCCTGGATGGCAGAAAACTTTCTTCAGCTTAACCAGGACAAAACTGAGGTTTTAGTTGTTGGTCTTGAGGTCCAGAGAGAAATACCTTTACCGTAAAGGAACTATACCTGATTTATTTTCTAATGAGTTCATAAAAATTTGTAATACTATATACAAGTTGTATTATAATCCGTAATTCAATTGAAAACTTGAGCTCATTGATTCAGCTTGTGTATGAGTTCAGGCAGTAAAAAGTGCTGAGTAGAAACTCTCCTCCAATCACAGAACGAGGAGCAGCGCTGTTGCGAACAGGCCACGCCTCCTCTATTGTCTACAGCGCTGCTAAACACAGTAGCATGTTAGTGTAACCCGCATTTCCTAACATATTTTTATATTTATTATGGTTGCCCAACATTAATAATGTTTTAAGAATATTGCGGGCCAATAAATGGTGGAGGAATACAGCGTCAGCCCTGCTTCCCTCTAACCTGCGGGGTCATACCAGGTCATTCCCCCCGCCCCTTCCTTGACGGCTCTCTGTGACTGTGGTCTGTGGCGTGCGTCTGGCTTCTCGGCGTCTATTGCCTTTTACCGCGCTGATTTTGCCTCATATCATCTTTTACGTTGAATCTCCGATCCAGGGTGAGTCCATATACAAGTTATGGTCGTATTATGTGCTGCATATCGTTGTGAGCGCTCATGATCGCGTAACTTTCAGAGTATCAGCCAGTGTTTGTTAGCGGGGCTAACAAACCCAACAAACTACTCGGCCTGACATCATCCCACTTCGAATCTGACTCTGTACGTTCAATGGTGAGTTACTTTACAGCAGTTCGGGTTGTCTCTTTTGTGTTTAGCGAGTGATCTTACGTTATATGATGATGTTTCGTTTTGTTTGGTGGTAACCTCGCTGCCGCTCCTATTCAAAACTCCATTTACACACGGTCACTATTGTCCCTGTTTTACATGCGTCCGCGACGCACCAAGCATCGCGTCCAGCATTTAGATTGAGCTATTTTTAGTTCTGATTACGTGTGGAAACCTTGCCGTACTGCAGTAACGCGGCAACAGGTTTCCATCCTTTGTTAATTTGATATTTTTAACGTAGCTACGTGTTTATTTTTGATCGTTGCGCAACTTGACTGACTCTGCTTGCGTGTTTAAGTATTATTTCTTGATCTCTGCTCAAATAATCTATATCAGAGTATTTAATGAATTACTTGAGTATGTATTCAATGAATCAAACTGACTTAAAGTGCACTTGTTTTGAGATGTAGGTTCCTGAATCGAAGAACCTTTATGATATTGATCAGCTATTTAGTGGTTGATTTATGATTTGATTTTGGTTATAAATAATATAACTTTAGCGTATTTTACATAAAATATGTACCTTTTTGTAACAGTTACATATGGAAATATGTATCTACATTTACTTCTCTGTACATTCCACATGTACATCATGTACCTTTTAGTAGAATAGTTTATTTATACAAATGCTTATTTTGTGTTTTTGTTTGTTTTGACCTTTCCAGGTCAGGCTTTTGTTTTTACGTTGGATTATTGCAACGGCTCTTCGACCGACTGCAATCACCTTCTGATGGCGAGCTATTGTTCTACCTGAGTGGTAGGATCTTGAGTACTTGAACTTTTCTGAATCCCAAAAAGGAACTCTAAAGACTCTAAAAGGAGCTTAAAGTACAGTTATGAGCCCACCATAACTGAATTGAACTGACCTACCAAAGGACACTTTTTGTTTTTGTATTTTTATTTTTGTATTAAAAATATTTCCTTATATCTGCCCTATTTATAGCAACACATGTAAATAATGTAATATAGTTATCGCATACCTCACCTAATAATTATAGAATCTGTGACTACAATCAATATATATATACATACTTTTCTAACAACGCAATTGATTTTGTCTGTGTTTCATTCACACACCTTGGCTCCTTGGCCGAATCTACTTCTGGTCAACCTAATTGTTCACTCTGCTACTAGCCTAGCGTTACATTTGGCGAGCTAGCCAGGAGCCACACTGTGTGCAAAATATTCACCAAGTCACAATAATTTTGACTAGTCTTGAATATTTCTGTTTTCCTGAAATCCAGGAATATGGATGTTTTTGAACAAATGGGGGTAAATATTACCCACTGTGTTCCCTTAGACCCTGATGATATTGTACAACTTCAAGCATTCCATGATCCATGTTGTGGCATTGAGTCGTAGGCTTTCTGGTAATCAATCCAGGCTGTGCACAGGTTGGTGTGTCGTGACCGGCAGTCTTGGGGCGACTGGTTCTGTCAACCAGACTGGTGTTTGGCCCCTCTGGTGTCCCTACCAATGCCCTACTGTGCTGTGCTCATGAATTGTTCCATATCCCACTTATCCTAGCCGCCAATGTGCCTGACATGAGCTTCCATGTTGTGGAGAGACATGTTATAGGCCGTAGATGGGGGAACGGCACCCTTGACAGGTCCTTTCCATCATCAGGACCGTTCGCCCTTCGGTTACCATTCGGGTGAGTCCCATCTCTCACAGCTGGTTATATATATATATATACATATAGATATTAGATATATAATTTTAACCATGACTCTTTGTGATATGAAGCTTGACTGTTCTTTGGGCCATCGCCGGAAGGACTTAGCTGCAGATGGTAAAAAAGGCTAAAAGAAGATGAGTATACGAAAGTAGTATTTATATCATTTATTTTCATTTAGCAATATATTTCAAACTTATAAAAGTGAATAGATTTTAGGATATATTAACACACAGCAATAAGGCATAAGCTTTATATGTGAAATGTTAATTGACCGCGATAAACCACGGACCACCCTTTCAAGCCTTTCCGCAGTTCTTGTGTTTGTCTACTCTACAATCAAAAAATAAATATGATAAGCTAAAATAGGAAGTTATTTGGGAGAGTGAGAGAATCCCACTCTTCAGTGATAGTACATGGGTATTAAATATTCCAAATGTCTTAGTCAATTACCACCTTGGCTACCATCTAAATAGTGACTTAAGTTAAGAAAGCTTGAAGACAAGATTTATCTCAAAACATAACAAAGCAGGTTAAAAAATTCCGTGTTTGGTAGCAGTTGAGCGCCGATAAGTGAGTGGGAGGCGCAGTCATATGAGTGCAGCCTCAGAGAGACTGCGCACCTGAAAGTACTTGACCAGATGGTTACTTCACACCCGCACAAAGTTGCTACGTTTTTTCTGTGTGTAACCTCGTTCAGAGACGAAAGTGTTTGGGTCAGCGGTTTTGATCACGGTAGACCTCCTCCTTATTGTTTAGCCTTTGTGCATACCTTCAGACTAGGTTTATGCACGGCCCCCGAAATATAGTTTGATTCTATGGCAGAGCAACGTGACTTTGCAGAAGCCTCATGTCTATGCAAAATGAGACTGCACACAGGGAGCATATAGAGGCAAAGCTGTTGCGTAAATGGTCAACGCATTTTCAGTGCTTTTTTGCACTTAAAATAGTTTTTATACTGCCCTTAATGTGCTGTACTGCAAGAATTATTTTGAACAAGATTATTTTCGATCAAAATAAATGTGGAAATTTACAAAATATACCAATGATCTACGAATGGCATAGATTAGCAACAAAGCCAACGATCAATACATCAGAAAAAAAATGTGATAGTGACCAGAGAAAAGGCTCCTAGCTGCTCGAATTTGAGAGGGAGAAAAATTGTGGATACCAAGATATCCTGTGTTTTATTGTGGAAGTATTGATCATAGCTCTTAATGTTGTGAAGACAAATCACCACGCACGTTAAGCTGAGAGTAAGAATGGGCAGATGAGTGCTTTTCTGTCTTCTGTCAGTAATATCTGAAAAAATGCGACGAGGCCATACATGCGTGTAACCTGTTATAGTTATAAATGGATAACTATAGATAAACTATAGTATGTGATTTTTGAAGTCAGTTTTTCAGATCCATGTTGGCTAATACTGAAGTGTTGAATCGATACCTGGAATTGTAAAAACCTGTTTCAGTGCATTTCTCCTGGAGGGCAAGCCGCTATTCATTTATTACCCAATTGCGTGATATAATTCCCATTGTGAAAATATATTTATGGAATGACTTGCTGAGTGCCTTGTCCACAAGCCATGAATGCTCCGGAGACACAAAATGTAGGCCGTTAAGGTCTGGCCTTGGAAACGGCCCGTGTGTCACCGTCAAAGGCAGATGTCCTTTCACACTTGTAAACACTGCTTACAGATACAGGACATCTATCCTACTGTGTCCCGGGAAAGAACTGAATTAGTCATGTGATTGTCATGAATTCACCGCTTAAGACATATGTAATCTACCTCAAGATATATCTCGTTACTCATTGAACGTTGTCCACCATATTTCCGCGAGAAATCGTGCCTCCTAAATTTAGCACAATACTTTCAGCAGCAGAATGTAGTGCCCTTTTTGAATGCGTGGGTAATATCCTTAATATTCGTGCATGTTTGAAGCTAAATGAGGCTTTAAATAGCACTCTGATTCCATCTTCCAGCGCTACATTAAATTGTTTTTTTGAAAGTCCATAAATTATTTCTGGTATGTGTTTTTTGAGTTCTGCAAGAAGATAAAGCAGAAACTTTAAAAGATGAAAGGAGGGTCTTAAATTCTGTACAGCTCATTTTTCCCCCATTAGTGGATTACCTTTTGAAATAAATGTCATTGTGAGGAAACAAAGCCACTGCTCCTTGTAGGTGTGGTTTTTTCCCCTTTTCACAGTGAAGTTGACCCTTGTTTGTTACTAATGCTAAACAATGAGGTGCTTTTGGGCGCTTGACATTGTGTGTGTGAGGGTTAGACGGTTACACATTTGAGGCCCCGTTAGAACGGTTACCCTGCGGAGACTTCTGCAGAGCAATTAGCAAAAATGACCAAGCTCCAATCAAGTCCGCATGCGTTTTAGGATGACAGCAAAAAACGATGTAGTTCTAGTGCCAGGCCCCTAGTGGCCACAGTGGAACTTTACAACACGACACTCATGACCCCCACCAGTATATACACTTCCTCAACAACATCCTACACAGGTCACCGCAAAGACTTAGGCCCCGGCCCAATACTCGTAACTTCCACCCTTCGCGCCCCTTCATTTGCGCGTTCCCGATAAAGGTGCGAGTGCGTAGGGTGTCCCAATTCTCCAGGGAGGTCTTTGGCCCCGCCCCCTTTGCGCCCCTGATCCACAACTTCGCCGTAGCCTGCATCTATGCGCACTCTGGCGAAGGATATTGCCCATAATACTTTGCGGTACACACACCAAAACATCGGAAAATGCATTTAAATATACATTTTGAAATATCTATGCAGTCACAATGTGGTGTAAATAAGTTTTGCTAGTTACTTGGAAAGAAGCATAAACGTCTGATGAAGAATTACTGGACATGTGTTTTTAACAATTTAATATAACTTTTTAAAGCAAGCGTTCATATAATAACATTCAATTTAAACTTTACACTTAATTAGTACAATAATCTAGAATAGTATAAAAACTGACCAGATAGTTTATAGTTAGTTAACCCACATTTAACTTAAAATTATACAGCTATCTCTAATTAAAAACAACTAATATACATGTATTTTAACGCGTGAGAAGCAATTCAATTTGTTTCCCAAAGGGTCAGACAAAATTACCTTTAATGTTTATAAAGTTTAGGTCTGAAAATGACCATCTCTTGACGAGTCGATGACGTAACCTGCACTCAGTGTGCACTGTCCCAATTCTGCCTTTTTTGCACACTTGTAACCTGCGCACTCCAACCCTGGTCTGCACTTCAGACAAATGCACACTTCATAGAGGTGTGTAGGGTGCAGTGTGGGTATTGGGACTGGGCCTATATGTACCTGTGCTCCTCTCCCCTTGTTGCTGGTTCATTGTCTTGTCAATGTCTGTTCTGTCCTGTTCCTGGTTCCGTGTTCCTTTGGATTTTGAATTTGAGTTTGTTTTCACCTGGACTTTATCTTATTTTCCTGCATTCGTGTTTTTTGGGTCTTCATTCACTTCACCACATGGCATGGATTCCAACTGCTGGGGTTTAACTAGGAACAATACAGACTCTATATGCCACATCATATACAGTATGTAGATGTACTATGAATTAATATTTCATTCTATCCCATACTTTACTTGGGAAAACAATCAGGGTCTTTTTTAAACCAAAAACAATGACATACAAAAAGCGAAATTTTCATGGGGTCAATCAGGCTATAAGAGTTTGATTTAAAGTTTTAAGGAGATATGACTTTTTATATATTGATATAATACAGATGAAAATCTGTAGATTAGAATATAAGTTCGGTTTTTTCTGTAATTCAACTTAAAATGTGAAACCAATACATGCAAAGAAACATGCCAAGCCGTTGTTTGTTATGATTTTGATGATTTAGTATTCTTCTTTGCAGAGATATTTTATTTGGGGTTTTTACAAGCTATGAGCACATTATCAACATTATACCAGATAAAAAGTTGATCAGTCCTACTTTGTCTGTAATGAGCCTGACATTTGTAAGTTTCACATTGTATGTTGAATTATAGAAATATAAGGACTTTTGAATGATATTCTTTTTTGCCTCCAAAACA